GATTCAATGTCAGATTAGCTCCGAATTCTGATAATCTTACTGAATTTCATAGAAACGATTGCAATGATTTTCTAACAAAACGTTAAATTCACTCAACATTTTTCCAAGATCGCACAAAGCACTTATTGTGCTAACCAGGTGATCGCTTGATCACTTCGATGGCACAAACAGATTTTGAGATATCGATTAGAAATGGTCATAAATTTTAGCTGATGATGACTGTAGTTTAGATAAATGGAAACAGTTCGGAATTTAGAGTTTAGTAGCACATAGATGGAAATTAAGAAAACCATAAGAAATAAAAACCTATACACGCACGTATTCGAAAGGTGCAATCATAAAGGAGTATTTAAAAATGGGTGGAATAAAATGAACGTTTCAACAACTACGTATAGCGTGCCTACAAACAGAAGAGGAAAAAAGATTCAGATCGTCAAAAAAAAGAACGGGAGACGATGGCAAACAATATGTGTACAAGAAATGCACGAATGATTTTTTTGAAAGATGATAAACAATAAAAAATGGCATTTGTAATTGTATTAAATATCAAACAAACTGATTATTCGATTCATTTCTCAATTGAAAAAAATTGATTTCAAATATTCTTTTTCAATTATTTTTTCTTCAACATTCAATATCCCATTCTCAACAGATCACATTCCAAAAAAAGAACTACAATTGCTGACTTCCATTCGTTGTCATCATTTTTGCATTCATTCCGAGAAGTCATTGTTTAGCAAGATTTCATGAGCAGTTAGAATATGTAGATGCAGTTAAATATGCGTGACTAGAACGGTGAACATTATTGGGAAAATAGTGGAAATCAAACGATATTCCCATTTGAATTTCATTCTTAGGTGGCTGAATTTGATAGAAATGAATAATTTTGATGCATACTGGCAGTCGAGTACGTCAATGTTGAGCTAACGTGAGGAATATGAAGCAAATGAATCGATGAAACTGAGCACAAAACGATATTAAAAACAGCTGACAGTTATACAGAATGGTATTCATGAATTAGATGCTGCCTTTCTGAGGCTTCGGATGCATTTTTTAAACTGATGAAAATTGAAAGATCTTTCCGAAATCAATTCCCAAAGAGCGCTCGTTGAAATGCTCAAAATAGAATTCATGAATTTGATGAGCAGCGTAAATTTCAAAATAAAACGCTCAAGTGTTATGTGTAAATGTGAACGAATAACTTAAAATATGAACGGCATTTTAAATCGGTACGAAGACGACTATCGAATGGAACGAGGAAGAGAGTCAGTCATTTTGAATCAACTTCATATTTGAGCAAAGGAATGCGATTGGAGGAATATTCAAAACATTCAAATCAAAAACGCAGAAACATTAAACAAGATATGCAGTTCGCAATTCAAAACAAATATGTTGATGTGCTAAAAGCGAGTGTCAATCCCAGAAATGAGGAATATTAAATTAAATGCGAATTAAGGCAATCAGTGGTGACACATGCATTAAATGCTATTTACGCTTAATCGATTTCAATTCAAATCATCTCAATTCAAAGCTGATCGTATAAAACACAAATTCAATAAAATACAAATAATTATTTGCTTGAACGCACCAATGAATTNATACTGCTATAAATAGATTTTCGAAAGATTCGTAATTACTGGCAATAAGAATAATCACTCGCGTGAGGTTGCAGCGAGCCTCACATTTTTCTTTTGTTCTTTTGGCTTAGAATGGTTGTAAACGCTCAATGAAAAGCATTTGAAAATTCATGAGAAACTGAGCTGCACAATTGCGCCTCATCACTTATCACCTTGCTGAGGTCGTTTAGGCAATTTCTTCTTACGCTTAGTGTTTATTAGAATAGTGTCGATCGTTATGCAGATGAAAACCTTAATGCTTATTCAAACTATCGAATGATTTGTAAATGAATACTGAGAAAAGAAATTATAACCTTAAACGATGAGCAACTATTGATAAGAAACACGATACGTTTACAATCTACGAACGAAAATATTAGCCATTGGAAAAAGATATGTTCGAGAGAGGAAACTGAATGAAAGAAGACGATAAAAAATGAATGAATAAATTTCAAAAAATATCGGACGAATGATGAATTGAGAAAGAATTTGTATGAGTGAATGGGAGAAGAATGAATGTCTTGAGATGTTTTGTATTTTGTTCCATGCACACTTGAGCGATAATATACCTGCGTGCATCAGCATTTATTAGGCAATATAACGCATTGCATATACGGAATTGAATATGTGTGCATGTCAAATGTATATATATATATAGTTGNTGTATATACAAACTAAACATCTCTATAAACTAATCATCTAACATGGACAAATAAATAAAAAGAATGAAGATTGCGATAATGCTACAGAAGCACGACGATCGCGCGAAGGCCATACCTATTCCTACCTGTCCCGCACACCATACCCTCCTTCATTCATATGATAATGACGGTGATCATGGCACGCCCTATACCAAAACGTAGAATGTCTCTGTTGTATTCATCAAGAATACATCACACGCATATTCAACACTGTGTTGTTAAATATGAATAATGAACGATTAATAATTCAATCATTCTTATCAAACTTATATGAATAATAACGCTTGGTGAATTTCACTTCATCGCGTTAATCTGTTAGAATCGACTGTTGCATTGGTCAGTTGCTGGAGACAGAATGAAAAGATGCTTTTGTACGTACACAGTGAGCATTCTGCAGTGATCAATATTCCACGATTGTGCTTCATATAATGTGGCTTGCAGGTGGTCGTCATCCGTCGACAGTGCAATGAAATGAATACGTCACGTAGAAGTTCGTTGACCAAACTGGTTAAATGAAGAATTTCGAATCGCTTACGTTTGCTTGATAGCACTTCGCATTGGAGCAAATAATTCATGGAAGAGATATAGTTTTTTATCGGTTTAATTCCGCCAGTAAATGCTTATTTTCTCTCATCCTTTTTCTAGCAAGTGAATCACGTAAGCTGAATGATTTCTGTGGTGAGTTCGAATTCAAGGAAAAATTGAAGAGTTTTGTTTCAGTAAACACTGCAAACAATCAACAGATAGAAGAACATTTGACTGCTCTAGATTTCGGAAAATTTCTGACATAAAATGTTTTGGTTAAATATACTTTGAGATGATTCTTAATGAATTGAGGTAATCGATCGGGGAAAAAAGTTATTGCATCCGAGCATTCGTTGCAGTAAAAAGGAACTTTTGTTTGAGGGTAAAGACAGACTTTCTGCAGATATGGATTATAGCGCGACGAATGTAATCATTATAACGGTCGCATTATTGCAACTGACAAACATTTTTATTCGATTTCGTGTGATTCTTCTCCAGAATGCCAATGGAAATATATCTCTTCTTGATTGTGCGTCATTGCAAGAGAGAACTTATGATACATTAATTTGTAGTCAGTAATAGAATTAGCGTCACCCTCGAGTATTTTACGGGTGATATCCTTATAGGAGTATAATCGAAACGATAATTTCATTAAATGAAGATATACCGAAAAGGTGAAGAGGAACAGAATGTCAGTTGAATTATAATATTGAGGAATTTAAAGAATGAAAAAGTTATCATTTAATAGCGATGATCGAACTTCAGAGATTCAGACGCACGATCGAATTGTTTGATGATCTCTATCGTTCTAATTGCAACAAATTACGGGAAGGCGTGCGTATGCAGTCATTACAAGATGTTACACAACAGGTGGGTGCAACCGGCAAAAAGCGTGTGAGTTGAAGTCGTCAGAATGGAATTAATCCAATTTTACATATCGAAACTTTTATGATGATGAGCGAAGGGGCTAAATGCATAATACGGAAATATCATCTTTCAAGACTGCCCAATGGTCAATTGAAGCTAAACCATCACCGTCAACAACTATTGCACCATGCACTGAATCTGTTTGCCACCATAGTAGCAGTCGTCCCACAGCCCCGACGAAATATGTTTCCATCACATTTTTAACGGCTACAAATTCTGTTATTCATTTCTTCCAATCATTCAATAGAAAAAATTTTTTCCAAGTTGGCAGTGTAAAATCAACATTCATACAGCTCTAAATTCGTACAGGTCGAATTGTTGAGATAAAAACGCGCAGCATTTTTTCGACGTAGCAACAAGTGATGAAATATTCAAGTTTAAGAATCCATCATAAACCATTTGTTGTTGCTTCATAGACTACAATTTATTTCGGTAAATAAATTGCAGTCTGTGAGAGGAACGTATAGGATGATTTATACCGATGAGCAAAAACGAGCAACAATGATCACATCAGAAATGAACATTTCAAAGATTATCAAAGAACTGAACTGACACATCGCGGTGACAATCTTCATTCGAATCATCAAGCAGAAGTGCTTGTGATCAAGTGGTTAATTGAGAATTAAAACTGCGACGCACTACTCATTCAGGATTGATTGTTCAATATCGAAACATTACCGACAAAATGGAATTCAGAGCAAAAATTTCCTTCATTTACATAATATCTCTTATAAGGTGCAACTTCAATGTTTTCATGAAGCACGAATGCAATTGAAACATATAAAACATTTTTTGAATAATTTTCGAATATGCAATGTGAAATGATACTTAAGAGGTGGAGCGCCAAATGAATTATTATATTATATATTTCAAAATATTTTCATGCGATAATAAACTCGTTCTATTCAAATTATGCCACTGTAAAGTATCATAATGAAAAATACACCAATGAAAGGAATTGCCAAGCGTTTTAGACAAAAAAAAGAGCTGCACTAATCTCATTAGAAAAGAGGAATGTGAACGGAAGTTGTGGTGATATGTCATAAAATATCGCGTATGCATGAAAGGAATTGAAGAGCAATTTTGAATATCATCACTTGCAATGACACTCAATCAGATCATTTGTCAATTAAAGTCCAAATGAGTAGTGATTTGTTCGCAGCTAAAGCAATACGGTTAGATGAATGAAATTTTTGTTCAACAATAGAAAACTTTTTTTTGTGTTTTGAAAATCACTTGTAGAGAATGCATAAATGCGAATGGTCTCAATCATAATTAACCGAAACTGTCGTGCGTTTATGATTAATATCTTCAGCAAAATCAATGTGACAAGAATCAATGCCTTAAACGGTTAATCACTTAATCATTCCTGTATATCATCAGTTCATTATTATCACAAGTTATTGTATCGCTTACTAAATGTTTGCAATGATGATCGGTTTATTGCTACTTTGTCACCATTCTCATTAATACACATCATTCAAAATTTCATCTCATCACAACGTAACCATGCCAACAGTTCGTATTAAATAATCCAGAATTAAAGAATCGATTCATTAGATATGAACAAATTCGTAAGAATCGATGACGTTGTGATTGACATAATTTGATCAATTCAAACCATGACTCAGTGCAAATATCGTTCAAACTAACAACGAGTATTATCGTTCAAATAATTTGCGAATACGACTCGCTAAACATATTTGTCAATATTAACAAGCATCTAAAAGAACAACTCGTTTTCTGAACGAAAATGTGATGAATCAATGCTGAGTTTTTGGAAAATGATTATATTTTGAATAAATAAATGATTTAAATTCACACAGAAGTTATGATGAAATTCCAGACAATAACAATCAGTTTACTTACTTGAACGCATGAATATCAAAAAAATTTTAGTGTTAACAGCTGTTCGAATAATTCTGAGAGCAAATAAACGAAATGTGATAAAAATAAGAGTGTGCGGAATGACTCGTTTCAGCAAATTGATCAGACAAACTGCAGACGAATTCACTGACGAGTGACAGTAATGATGAATAAATAGATTGGTGTTATCAATGTCAAGCGGTAAAGTTTAACTGAACTATTCAGATACGGTAAAATTATGACAAATGATGAGAAAATAAAACAAACCTTGTGTAAGCCAATATCAAGAGGAATAATTGATAGAACAGCACCATTAATAGTTCGATTTTTTTGTAAACTGATTTCGTTTCGCTGATAGGTTTTATCATTCGGTCCTATCACTATTACATCCAATTCATCGACATTTAATTCATCGCCTTCTGCACATGTTAAGTCGAGATTCACCTGAGCATTTCTGTTAATTAGATGATCAAATATCTAGCAAATATCCGACCAAATATTTCAATAATAATTACAATTTTTGGTAATGATACTCGTACCAATAATAATATAGTATGGACGCTTAATAGTAATAACTGTTATTTTTGTTACTGAATTGCAATAAATATGTTCATGATTTCTTGTTACTTTTGCATTTGGATACGATACGGTCCTATCATGTACACTATGGAAAGCACTGCAAATACGTAAGCGGAAGCGCCTGAACATTGTATCGTGGCTCGTTAACAAAACGTCTGAGGCGGACACATAACTTTACACTGAACGACTCACTGCTTTCATTTGTATTTGTTTTGACATGAGAACGAATGATCCTTATGCGAACAAAACGGGTGAAACGTAAAAAACAATACATCAAAGAACGGTAATCGAATAAAAATTAATTGTGCTGCGTTGATCTCGCCACACTGATCGGGTGCACTACTTCTAATGCCCCGCGCCTCGCTACACCTCTGATTTTACTGTCAACTGTACTATATATCAAGGATAATAATGAATTAATGAATTGATAAATAAACGTTGATTTGAAAGACAAACTTGTTGATATTGGAAACATTCAACAGGTGGTGATTGGGGTTCGTTATCGGTTGATGAGCCAAGAGAGCACAGTTCGGCGGAAAGTGCCATAATAGCTTAAATATTTAGTCACTTCACCGATTTTATTCGAAGAAATCAAAATAAGAAAATAGAAACGAATAATCAGAACAAAAATAAATGCTTTCGTCTATATGCGCTGAAATTCGCATGAACAAGTCGATAATTTAATTGCTAGTCATTGCGATGATTCACTTCAACAAAACTGAAACTTTACTTCCATAATTCAAAATTATTTTTATTAGACTGAACTAGGCCTTCCCAGAGTTTCGCATGACGATAGGAAATTCATTTCGATATTGACAAAAACAAGCGTTCGTTCACTTGTATTTTCACGCCATCATAAAACATTCAAGTTTTCTTCGAAAATTGGAACGTCTTTAATGACAAACAAACGTTTCAACTTCTCTCGAAAACACATCAACTTTTTCTTCGGAAGTTGAAACGTCTGCAAGAGAACAACAGCAAACAAGCACATAAAACTGATCAATAAATTTTTATTGCTCTTAGAACATCCGTATTTCCAATAAATTAATTGGAAAAGATTCTAAGAAATGATTCTCAGCAGACCTCAATGGCTAATCTAATCAAACGTAAGTGAACACAATTCAGTTAAGTAAACAAGCGATGCGCTAAGAGAATGTTGTTCGATAGATGATAATAAATGGTGAAGAAAATTGTAAAATTATTTCTAAAAACTATTTTTGGAATTTAAAAATACCAGTTTCAGTGAGTATACTAACGGTTCGTGCGAATTTGATACACTAAAAAACTATCATTCATTGGAAGAAATTAACTCTCTCGCTCTCTCTCCCTTTGATAATAGTTTATTTTTAAATCGATACAATTTTCAACAAAAATGCTCATCTGACTGCACATAATCTCTTTATCATTACTGTAAAATAATTTTGCTGACAAATTTCATTGGCCGACATCATAAAATGATATTAACATATGCGATAGCAGCAGTAATCGAACCATCATGATAATAAAATTAGTGATTAATAATGGTAATTCTGACAGAAAACGATTAGTAATGTTAATTAGAATTGAATTCTTAAAATACCACTAATAACTTTGATAATCTCTAAAATTTAACTTTTAATGATGACAACGTTAAATAGCAGTAATATCATGAATACTAGTAGTGATAATAATGAGAAGGAATTTATACGTAACTAAATGAACTACCAAGATGGTCAGAAGATGGATCTGCGATTTCTTCGGCACTCACCAATGAAGCGACACCCAATTTGGTTGCTTCGTTCAACGCTATAAATCAAATAATTGAACAATTCAATTGTAATTCAAATTCAGAATAAATTGTCCGAATGCTGGAGATGTTAACTACAATGCGATAGCGCTCAGAGTGTTAGCTAGACTTATTTATAATAGATGATTCGGATTTTCCAATATAGACATAATCAAAGAAAATATCTAGCGATTCAAGGTGATCAGTTCAAATAATAAGAATACCTTTANGGATTTTCCAATATAGACATAATCAAAGAAAATATCTAGCGATTCAAGGTGATCAGTTCAAATAATAAGAATACCTTTACGAATGTTATGCACACATTGAGAATATGTGTTTGGTTGTGAGTGAATATCATTAGCATCCAACTCACCACCAACTGCATTAATTAATTCACACAAAATTAAGCCATCCTTCCAACAACTCTCAAAATCATTGACTCCTCTATTAGGAAGTATCTGCAATTCATTGAGTTCATTAATATGATTGCTTCATATTCATGCATTAATCAAATAAATCCATATGATAAGTGGTTGTCAGAATGCCAATATACAGGGTTTTATAATAGGAGGGAGTTTTTTTATGGAAGGTTTATGGTTTGAGGGAGGAAAACTGTGAGGCAGTCTGTCTTTATGAATGCTGTCACAATTTCTTTACACAGATATTTCTTTGCAAACAGTCAATTCACATTCGGACATACACATTTTCCCCTTCAAACATGAAAAACCCTTATTCTCCCTAAGCAAGTTTCTACTCGATTTTCAATCTCTTTTTGCATTTCCCGTCAGTTTCTCACAATCAGCAAAATTTTCCACATGTGTTCATTGGGAATTAACTTGTGAATGTGC